TAATCAAAAGCATTAAGTTAGGAATAAGAAAATGGTAGGATGTGAGAGTTGGTGTGCAATAGAAACAACTAAAATGTCAGAAGAGATACATATTCAGTAGAAATGGGATTGATTAAGGTGAATCTGGATTATATCTAAGAGGTCCACAGTTGAACTTCAGGAGATCCATAAGTCTCTACTTGATACTGTATGCAAAACTTCATATGTGCATTTTTTCCTAGTCAGTGATTCATCATTTTTATCAAATTCTCATAGGCATTTATTAACCAATAAAGGCTGAGTCATTTGTATTTCACATTTGAGAGACTTTTCAAGCATAAACTTGATGCTGTAGCCAGTTAGTCTTTAAATTTTTTCTACTAGAACTTACTAGGAGCAGAAGAGAGGGAATGAAAGCATAAGATCTGGAGATAGCACCTGAAGCTTATGACTTCATATTTATCCTAACATCATATATTAACGTTATATTAAGGGACTGGTACTAAGGGTTCCATATGAAAAGATATTTAACCTCAGTGATCAGGGAGCCATATTCAGGACCAATCCATTCAGTTGGTAAAAATTAAAAAGTTGAGCCAGCAAATTGGAACAAAAGAGGTAAAATTATCTGTTTGCAGACAACATGATTTGTTTATAAACAAAACTGTAAAGATGCCACCCAATAAAAACCCGTTAGAACTGAAAAACAAGTTTAGCGAAGTTTTGGGATGCATGATCAACACACAAAAATTAGTCACATTTCAATGAACAATCCAAAAAAGGAAATTTAAAATTCCATTTATAATAGCATCAAACATAAAATATTTTTCCATAAACTTAACTAAGGAGGCTTATATACTGAAAATGACAAAATGTTGCTGAAAGAAATTGGGGAATATACAAATAAATGGAAAGACACTCCATGTTCATGGATTGAAACACTTAAGATGTTGATACTATTCAAGATGATTTACAGATTAATCCTGTAAACACTATCAAAATCTCAATGATTTTTTTCAGAAATAGAAAAATTTATCTCAATTTCTATAGAATCTCAGGCCGGGCTCGGTGGCTCAGCCTGTAATCCCGCGCTTTGGGAGGCCGAGGTGAGTGGATTGTTTGAGCCTGCAGGTTCAAGACCCGCCTGGGCAACTTGGCGAGACCTCATCTCTACGATAAATCAAAAAATTAGCCAGGCGTGGTAGCGCACACCTGTAGTTCCAAATACTTGGAAGGCTGAGGCGGAAGGATCGCCAGAGCCCAGCAGGTCGAGGCTGTGGTGGCCGGGAGCAGCCACTGCACTCCAGTCTGGGCGACAGAGTGAGACTCCAACTCAAAAAAAAAAAAATAATAATAATATAGAATCTCAAAGAACCCCAAATAGCCAAAACAATCTTCTTTTAAATGAACAAAATTAAAGGTCTCAAGTGTCCTGATTTCAAAGCTTGATTTATAGTTAAATTACAAGCTACAATAATCAAAACAGTATAGTACTGGCATAAAGACTGACAGAGCCGGGCTCGGTGGCTCAGCCTGTAATCCCGCACTTTGGGAGGCCGAGGTGAGTGGATTGCCTGAGCCTGCGTGTTCCAGGACCGCCTGGACAACTTGGCGAGACCTCATCTCTATAATAAGTCAAAAATTAGCCGGGCGTGGTAGCGTGCACCTGTAATTCCAGCTACTTGGAAGGCTCAGGCCGAAGGATTGCCAGAGCCCAGCAGGTCAAGGCTGCGGTGGCCGGGAGCAGCCACTGCACTCCAGTCTGGGCGACAGAGTGAGACTCAAAAATAAATAAATAAAGACTGACACAGAATAGAAAATCCAGAAATAAACTCTGTATGGTCAAGTGATTTTCAATAATGTCAAGACCAATCAGTAGAGAAAGAGCAGTCATTTAAAAATGGTGTTGGGAAAATTGGATAGTCACAGGCAAAATTAACTCAAAAGGAATTAAAGACTTGAATGCATGTACTAAAACTATAAAATTCTTAGATGAAAACAGGGAAGCCAGGAGCGATGTCTCTTGCCTGTAATGCCAGCACTTGGGAGGCCAAGACGAGACTTGCCTGAGCCCAGTGGTTCAAGACCAGCCTGGGTAACTTGGCGAGACTTCATTTCTACAATAAATAAAAAAAATTAGCCGGGCATGGTGGTACACACCTGTAGTTCCAGCTACTTGGAAGGCTGAGACAGAAGGATCAATCGCCTGAGCCTAGCAGGTTGAGACTACAGTGGCTGTGAGCATACCACTCTGTTGCTGTGAGCAACAGAATGAGACTCAAGACTCAAAAAAAAAAAAAAAAGAAAACAGGAAAAAACTTAATGATGTAGGATTTGGTAATTATTTATTGAATAGTACACCAAAATCAACAAAAAATAAATTGGACTTCACCAAAATAAAAATTGTGTTCCTTAAGGGACACAACAAACAGAGTAAAAAGGTAACTCATGGAATGGAAGAAATATTTAAAAAGTAGCCGGGCACAGTGGCTCACGCCTATAATCCCAGCACTTTGGGAGGCCAAGGTGAGAGAACTACCTGAGCTCACGGATTCAAGACCAACCTGGGCAACTTGGTGAGACCGCACCTCTACAATAAATCAAAAAATTAGCCGGGCATGGTGGCTCATGCCTGTAGTTCCAGCTTCTTGGAAGGCTGAGGTGGAAGGATCACCGGAGCCCAGCAGGTCGAGGCTGCAGTGGCCATAAGCATACCACTGCCCTCCAGCCTAGGCAATAAATAGAGTGAGACTCCAACTCAAAAAAAAAAAAAAAAAAAAATATATATATATATATAAGGTCTTAAAATCCAGAACATATATTTTTTAAAACTCTTACAACTCAACAAAAGAAACCCAATTCAAAAAATGGGCAAAGGGCTGGGTGCAGTTGTTTATGCCCATAATCCCAGCACTTTGGGAGGCTTGCTTGAGTCCAGGAGTTTTAGACCAGCCTGGGCAACATAACAAAACCTTGTCTCTACAAAATAAAAATAAAAAAATTTAGCCAGATGTGGTGTTGCACATCTGTAGTCTCATCTATAGTCTCAGCTATCCCCTGAGCCCTGGAGGTTGAGGCTGCAATGAGCCCTGGTCATGCCACTGCACTCCAACCTGGGCAACAGAGCGAGACCCCAACTCAAAAAAAATTGAGTAAAGGGCTTGAATAAATATTTCTCCAAAGAAGACATACAAATGGCCAATAAGAGGCTGGGCGCAATGGCTCATGCCTGAAATCCCACCACTTTGGGAAACCGAGGCAAGAGGATTGCCTGAGCCCAGGAGTTCAAGATCAGCCTAGGCAACGTGGTGAGACCTCATCCCTACAAAAAAATAAAAAAGTTAGCTGAGCATGGTGGTACGTGCCAGTAGTCCCAGCTACTTGGAAGGTTGAGGCAGGAGGATTGCCTGAGCCCAGCAGGTCAAGACTGCAGTAGCCATGATTGTACCACTGCGCTCCAGCCTGTGCAACAGAGTGAGATTCTGACTTTAAAAAAAAATTCAATAAGCACAGAGAAGGGTGATCAGCATAACTAATCATTAGGGAAATGTAAATTAAAACTACAAGATGCCACTTCATTCTCATTAGGATGGCGTGCGCGCACACACACACACATCACACATGAAAAATAGCAAGTGTTGGTGAGGAGGTGGAGAAACAAACCCTTGTGCATTGCTGGTGAATGCACAATGGTGCAGCTACTATAGAAAATAATATGGTTATTATTTAAAATACTATATAAAATAATATGGTTAAATTAGGCATAGAATTACCATATGATTAAGCGGTTCTTCTACATGTATATCCAAAAGAATTGAAAACAGGGATTTCAACAGACATTTGTATACTCATATTCATAGCAGCATTATTCACAGTAGCCAAAAGGTAGAAGTATCCCATGTCTATCAATAGATGAATGAATAAACAAAATGTGGTATACACATACAGTGGGATATTATTCAGCCTTAAAAAAGGAGGCAGTTAGCCAGGCTCGGTGGCTCAGCCTGTAATCCCGCGCCTTTGGGAGGCTGAGGTGAGTGGATTGCCTGAGCCCGCGGGTTTGAGACCCGCCTGGGCAGCGAGACCTCATCTCTACAATAAATCAAAAATCAGCCGGGCATGGTAGCCGCACGCCTGTAGTTCCCGCTACTTGGAAGGCTGAGGCGGAAGGATCGCCGGAGCCCAGCGGGTCGAGGCTGCAGTGGCCGGGAGCGCCTCAGCACCTCATCTCTACAATAAATCAAAAAATTAGCTGGGCGTGGTAGCGTGTGCCTGTAATTCTGGCTACTTGGAAGGCTGAGGCGGAAGGATCGCTGGAGCCCAGCAGGTCAGGCTACGGTGGCCGGGAGCGGCCACTGCACTCCAGTCTGGGCGACAGAGTGAGACTCCAACTCAAAAAACAAAAATAAAAGAAATTATATATATATAAAATACTCTTTGCTATTAGTACACTAAAATAATGTAAACAGACTAAACATTTTTGACATATCTAGTCCTAGTCTATTTACAGGAGATTAAAGATAATAAATACAATATAAATATATTTCACTATTTCTTTTTTCAAAAGCTGAATGTTATTCTGTCATCATATTAATGGAAATACATTTAAAAATTGGGCTTAGCTACTTCGGCTTTCCTGATTTTTCTACTCTGCGCATATATCTGTCTTGCCACTTCACTGTAATTGTCATATGATGATTTCCCCTCACTAGATTATTCTTTAGGAGGCAGGGATCATATTTTTTCATCTACCTAGAACAGTGCCTATTACGTAGGTAGCCAGTAATTGAATGACTGAATTTCTACCTTCTGTAGTGAATAAGAAGAGGATGGTGCTATAACCAACCATTGTTATGTGAGAGAGCAGAATGTGAAAATTGTGCTTTGAGGCTAGCTAAGGTAATCATCCTCAGGTGAAGGCCTGAAAATCATCTCAGTTTTGATTATGACTGTGTCTTGATACAATCTTTAATGGGTATTTGATTAAGGATGCTTATTATTTTATTGTTGGAATATTGAGCCTACTTTTTATTGTCGGTAATTATGGGAGTAGGCCAGTTTACTTAATCATGCCCATAATCAAAGTCAGTCTGTAACTTTCTTGTATCTTTTATTGGTTCAGCTGCAATAAAGCAACCTTTATTTCTTTGGTATAATGCATACATTTTATTATATTATTATGTTTACAGTGGAAAAGAAGAAGGAGACAATAACAGAATCAGCTGGTCGACAACAGAAAAAGAAAATAGGTAAGATGAGCTATTAGTATAAACAAAATTTGGGTTTTCTTGGAAAAAAATAAATTCTTAGGTGATGGAAATATGATGTTATTAATAATGATAACTCATGTTTTTATTATTTTATGATGTATAAAACACTTGAATACCTTAATCTCACTTGATTCTCAATTATTTTGTGAAGAAGTTAAGACAAGTTCGGTTGCTTTTATTATGCTCTTAGCTTTGAGATTTGAGTTTTAGTAAAATGACATTTGTGGCTTTTGAACTTGGATGAGGGTTCTTGGCATAGTTTGTAAAAGTGTCTTGTTTTTCATATCTGAGATGATTATTTTCAGTTAAGTTTGAATTTATTGTGTTTATTGTTTCCATGACTTCCTTACTAAGAATTTACTAGTGATGGAATTTCACCAAGGGGTAGAAAATTTTCTGAGTAATTTTTATCTGTTCTGAGAAGTCATGACCATATGCTTTTGGGTTTTTTTTTTTTTTGAGTTGGCGTCTCACTCTGTCATCCAGACTGGCGTGCAGTGGCCACTCCCGGTCACTGCAGCCTCAACCTGCTGGGCTCTGGCGATCTTTCCGCCTCAGCCTTCCAAGTAGCTGGAACTACAGGCACGTGCTACCTTGCCCGGCTGATTTTTTTATTTATTGTAGAGATGAGGTCTCGCCAAGTTGCCCAGACGGGTCTCAAACCTGCGGGCTTAGGCAATCCACTCACCTCAGCCTCCCAAAGCGCTGGGATTACAGGCTGAGCCACTGAGGCCGGTTGTTTTTGGGTTTTTAAAGTATAATTTAGAATTTAAGTATTAATTCTGATTTCAAAAGACAATTCATAAATGATTATATATGAATTGTACTTTATGGTGTTTCCTGATTCTGAAATCTGGAAAAAATTGTTGTAAAATTGTGTATTTGATTCAGAATCTATGTTTCTACACCTATTTTATTGCTGTTATAGCCCAGGAGATAATTCCACCAGGTTGGGCTATGTCAATGTCCTGTTCTGATTAAAGTTTTCAATTTAATATAGGGTACCAGAAATTTTTTATTTATTTATTATTTTTAGTGGGAGTCTTACTCTGTTAGTAGTCTTACTCTGTCGCCCAGGCTTGAGTGCAGTGGTATGCTCACGACCACCACAGTCTTGGTCTGCCGGGCTCAGGTGATCTTTCCACTTCAGCCTTCCAAGTAGCTGAAACCACAGGCATGTGCTACTACACTTGGCTAATTTTTTTTATTTTTTATTTTTTATTGTAGAGAGGAGGTCTTACCAAGTTGCCCAGGTTGGTTTCGAACCCCTGAATTCAGGCAGTAGTATTGCCTCTGCCTCCCAAAGTGTTGGGATTACAGGCGTGAGCTACCGTGCCTGATTAGATGCTTTTTAAATGGTGCACTCATTTAGTACCATGACAAGATGCTATTGTGTACCCATTCTGCCTGTGTCAGTCACTGTGTTAGTCACTGAAGAAACAAAGTAGGAAAATACCTATCTTTATAAGCTCTATTTAGAAAGGAAAACAGACCAAAATGATTACTATGCAGTATAAGTACTTTTATAGAGATATATTTTAGCCAGGCCTAGTGGCTCAGCCTGTAATCCCAGCGCTTTGGGAGGCTGAGGTGAGTGGATTGCCTGAGCCCGCGGGTTCGAGACCTGCCTGGGCAACTTGGGGAGACCTCATCTCTACAGTATATCAAAAAAAATTAGTCGGGCTTGGTAGCGCATGCTTGTAGTTCCAGGTACTTGGAAGGCTGAGACGGAAGGATTGCTGGAGCCCAGCAGGTCGAGGCTGCAGTGGCCAGGAGCGGCCACTGCACTCCAGTCTGGCTGACAGAGTGAGACTCCAATTCAAAAAAAACCCAAAAGAGATATATTTTAAGTATTATAAAATTAAGAGAAAGGATATCCATATCAACTTATGGGTCTGGTTTTCTTGAAGGTTAAAATGCTTTGATTGAATCTTAAAACTTTAGTGTAGCCGGGCTCGGTGGCTCAGCCTGTAATCTCGCTCCTTTGGGAGGCTGAGTTGAATGAATTGCCTGAGCCTGCGGGTTCGAGACCCGCCTGGGCAGCGAGACCTCATCTCTACAATAAATCTAAAAATCAGCCGGGTGTGGTAGCGCATGCCTGTAATTCCGGCTACTCGGAAGGCTGAGGCGGAAGGATCGCCGGAGCCCAGCAGGCGAGGCTGCGGTGGCCGGGAGCGGCCACTGCACTCCAGTCTGGGCAACCGAGTAGACTCCAACTCAAAAAAAACCAAAATACTTTAGTGTGAGTTAGCTAAATAAATATAAATAAAAATACTACTCAATATTTATTGAACACTTATATCTACAACACACTGTGGCAAGCACTTTACACATTTCTTTTTTTTGAGTTGGAGTCTCACTCCTTCGCCCAGGCTGGAGTGCAGTGGCATGCACGCTCATGGTCATCCCAGTGTTGACCTTCTGGGCTCCAGCGATCCTTCCACCTCAAGCTTCCGAGTAACTGGGACTCCATGTACGCACTACCACACACAGCTATTTTTTATTATATTGTAGAGACGAGGTCTCGCCAGGTTACCCGGGCTGGTCTCGAACCCGCAGGCTCAGGCAATCCACTCACCTTGGCCTCCCAAAGTGCTAGGATTATAGCCTGAGCCACTGAGCCTGGCCCACTTTACGCATTTTGTAACTCTCATAACAACTATGTGGTAAGGAATAATGTTATGCCATTTTTGCAGATGAGAAAATTGAGGTTTAAGTTACATAATTTGCACCAGGTTATGCAGTGGTATGATGGAATTAAGTCAATGTTAGAGAAGGGGCTTGAACCTGGTCATTTATATATTTATAAATGGATATGGACATATATATATCCATATTTTAGGCTGGGTATGGTGGCTCACACTTATAATTCTAGCACTTGGGGAGGCCAAGGCAGGAGGATTGCTTGAGCCCAGAAGTTTCAGACCAGTGTGGACAACAGTGAGACCTTGTCTCTAAAGAAAAAAAAGGAAAAAAAAAAAAAAAATTACACATTAAAGCCCTGTACATTCTAGGCAAAAGGACAAACATATGCAAAAGCGTGGTGGGATAAAATAGCAAAGTATATACTTGGAACTGCAAACTGTTTAGTATAACAAAAGAAAGATGCATGTAAGGTACAGGTAGATGAGGCTAGAGAAATAAGACTTTAGACAACTATTAAGGGATTTAAACAGTGGGTTGACATCAGATTTTGTTTAAGGAAGACAACTCTGGCAATAGTTTGGAGATAAATTGGAGATGGGAACCATTTTGGAAGTACAAAAGCCATGAGGCTTTTAAAGTATCACAGGTGTAAACATGGTGAAAACCTGAGCTTAGGCAGTGAAAGTGAGAATGAGTGGATCATACAAACTCAGTGACACAGAGGAGTGTATTAGTCAGGATTCTCCAGAGTGACAGAACCACTAGGATAGATGTATACACAAAGGGAATTTTTTTTTTTTTCTTTCTTTTTTTTTTGAGTTGGAGTCTCACTCTGTCGCCCAGGCTGGAGTGCAGTGGCACGCTCACGGCCACTGCACCCTTGACCTACTGGGCTCAGGTGATCCTTCCACCTCAGACTTCCAAGTAGCTGGAACCACTGGCATGTGCCACCACACCTGACAAATTTTTTGATTTATTGTAGAGACGAGGTCTCGCCATGTTACTCAGGCTGGTCTTGAACCCCCGAGCTCAGGCAATCCTCTTGCCTCTGCCTCCCAAAGTGCTGGGATTACAGGTTTGAACCACTGCATCTGGCCCACAAAAGGGAATTTTTTAAGGAGAATTGGCTTATATGATTACAAGGGGAAGACCTACAATAGGCTGTCAGAATGGATGTCATCATTGCTACTAGTTTATTCTTATAGCTACAAGAAATGCAGCCTCTACTCAATTGGAATATTCTCTTTTAGGATTTTAATTTTTCCTTTTGCTTGTCACTTTGGATAATAAATAATTCTAGGATATAAATGTATCTTTTGCATATTTCCAGATTATTCTCTTCATGAAATTTCCTCAAATTTCATACAGGTTGTATTCTAAAATTGACTAGTAAGAGTGTGCATAGAATTTCTTCCAAAAGGGACGATTTTTCTTTTTGGAAACGTGATTATTCCCTTTTGTAAATCTTAAGGTCCTGGATGGCATAGGGTAAAGAATAGTTCCCATAGGACAACAAAATACTAAATATTTCCAGCTCCTGACACCCTTAAGTTCTAGTTCTTCAAATCATTATTTCAAAGTAAATTCTTTGCATTTTTTTTATTTATTAATATGACTTTCCTAGAAATTACTCACTTTGGGAAACAAAGTTTCTTGTTCAGGGAAAAGCAGGTTGTTAAAAGATTTTTTTCAATACGGTTTATTAGAACTTGGATTGTTCTCATATAAACCACATACATGAAGCTGTATTTTCAAACCAGGCTGCGTAAATTTACTTAGCCTGTACTGTAATATAAATAAAGACTTTATTTTTTGGGATGACAGTTATTTTTGCTTTTGTTCTTTTTTTTGTAATACTGATAAAAGAAAAATTAAATAATGAAATAACATTTAAAATTTCATTTAAATCATTGAGGCTTTAAAGAAAGTAGATTCATTTATGAGATGAGAGATTGAAAAATTCTGAAAGGGAGTTTTAAGTACTTTTAAGAAGTTAAAAGTTTCACTTCTCATATTTGTAACAGAATATTCTTGTAAAAGTTGGGTTTTTAAAAAATAATCGGAATGAGTAATTAAAACAAATTTTTGTCTGGTACTAATTATTAGAGTCATGGTTTGATAGTCATACTGGAAGAAGGAACAGGAGTTTAATAATTTTCTAAGAGTTGAAACAAATAAAAGGAGGGGATAGAAGAGAATATGGGTATTGAAGGAGAGAATGTATCTGAGATGCAGTTAACTGAGCTGGCAATGGAGAAAAATGGAAATGAAAAGATCTTAGGCATTTTCTGCAGTGGCCATTTAAAGGTATCATCAGCTTTGGGGTTAATGGG